CCCCAAAACCCCAAAACCCCAAAACCCCAAAACCCCTATTTTATATTTGAAATTTGAAATTAAGAATTTTTATAATTAATAAAAATGATGCGACTTAGTGACAACATTCAGAATATGGGTAGGCTTAATAAGGAAGACCAAGCCCTAGAAGAAACCAAGGAGGAGAAGCCAACAAGTGGTGGTGATTACATCGCCACCACCGATGATAAATCTGATAAAGAGAAATCTATTAAGGAGATCTTTGATGATCCTCTTCATTTTGAAGTCTTCACTGCAAGATGTCATGATACGGGAGAGTCAGCTAGTACTGAGAATGCCAGGTTGTTTAAAGAAGATATACTTAAAAGAAATGTAAAGGCTTCGTTGTTCTTGAAGTTCCAGTCACTTAGGCTTGGAGTAAATTCTATTATTGCCTTGTCAACTGCTTTGCAAGGGAGTAATATTGAGAAGTTGAGTTTAGCTGATAATTCAATCTCTGATTTTGGAATGCATGCTATAAAGACTATTATTAATAATACGAGAATAAGTTACCTAAACATTGCATCAAATATGATCAGTGGGGATGGTCTTGAGTGCATCCTTGAAGATCTTATTAAAAATGTCTACCTTAAACACCTTGATATCGGAGTTGTTGAAGGATCTATCCGTAAGAACTCATTAGGGATCCAAGGAGCCATTTGTGTATCAGCCTTACTCATCAGGAATAAAACTCTAGAAGCTCTATGTCTTGATGATAATGACTTAGGAGCAGATGGGGGAGAATGTCTTGGAATCGCACTTGCGCAGAATGATAAGATCAAAACTTTCAAAGTTTCTGAAAATGATTTAAAGTCTGAAGGAGCTATCCCGATCATTAAGAGTTCGAATCATCTAGAGGTTTTGAATCTTTCAAAGAACTTTTTAAAGAGTGATGTTGGAAAATCTTTATCTAAACTTTTAAAGAATACAAAATGTCTAAAGAAGCTGTACCTTGAGTATAATGAGCTGATGGTTGAAGGAACTGATAAAATCTCAAGAGGACTGAAGGAGAACAACACACTTGAACTTCTTAATATTAAAGGAAATATTATAGGAGATGATGGCTCTGTCTTTCTTGCTAAAGCACTTGTTGGAAATAAATCTTTGAAAGAACTAGATATCTCATTAAATGAAATAGGACCACTGGGATTCCAAGCTATATGTGAAGTTCTCTCAACAACTAAAATCGAGATATTTACATGTAATAAAAACTTTCTTGGGGATGAAATGCTTGCTCAGTTTTCTAACTTATTATCTGACGAAGCAAATCCTTCAAGCATCAAGAAATTTGACTTTTCTTCATGCCGGCTCAATGATACAGGGCTTTTATACCTAATAAACGCAATCCAACATAACAAAACTATTTCCCATATGAAATTGGTAGATAATTTCTTCAGTGAAAATATTGAAGCAATTCTTTTACAAACTCTCAACAAGAATACTTCTCTCATTGATATTCAGTTGCAGAGGAACAGGTTATCTCACTCATGCCTCTCCAAGGTCAAGAAGATCTCTGTTCGTAACAAATGAATCATTGAAGAAGACGAACCTAATAAACTTAAGAAAGAGATCTATAGGCTTAGATATGAGCATGATAAGTTAGAGCAAGCCAGACAACAACTGAATAACCAGAAAAATGAAATTGAGAAGATCAAATCTTACAAGAAGGTATTTTCATATTTTAATATTTAGGAACTTCTAGGTAAGTATTTTTAGCTATCAAGTGTTCAAGTTTGGTACTTCAGCTATGTATCCCTTCACCAAGACTCATTTCCTAATTTCCCAAAACTAAATTTGTCCAATAGACCAGATCCATCGTCACAAAGAGAACGAAGACATGAAAAGAGAAAGACTCAACAAGTACATTGAAGAGCAAAAGAAGGTTATTAAAGAGAAAGAAGCCCAGACTGCGAAGAAGAATGAAGAGATCCAGACCATGGAGGCTGAGTTCAATGAGAAACTAGAGGAGATGAAGAGAGTGTATAACGAAGAGAACAAATAAAAAGGTACTAGTCAATACTTATTCCTACTTGTTTCAGACACTTCTAGAAAATTCCTTGTTAAGAAAACATTTTTGAGAATTCTCGAAGGAAATTGCCATTCTGATTACTTATAGATCGAACTGAGTGATGAGCTAGATAGGGTTAAGAAGGAACTAGATAAGGTCCAGGATGAATATCCCAAGCAAATCTCGGACCTGAAGAAGAAGATAACAGATGCAAAAGATCAGACTGAGGAATATGAGAAGAAAACACAGGTGCTTAGTGATGAGCTTAATAAGCTGAAGGCTCAAAAGCAAGCTTTGGAAGAAGGCAAGTCATAGATTTTTGAAAATTTCAATTTGAATTAAAGTGATAGGGGTTTTGGGGTTTTGGGGTTTTGGGGTTTTGGGG